ATGTCAATGTCCTAACAAATGTGATTCCAGTAGAATAGAGTTTTACTTGATGATTCTTACATGAATGATTCTAGATGATTCAATCAATTAAATTAAGATCTAGAAAAATTAGAAGAATCGTAATTGAATTAAGAAGATTTTCAAAACTAAAAATCACATAAAATATTAATAAAGTAAGCAAATATTAAGTTTAAAGTAGGACATATAGAGTTTTAGTTTCACAATGGTGTCCACTGAAATTTTGTATTCAGAAAAATTGTCATATGATGTCGAGGACTTCAAAGGTTCTCTTTAGACAAGGTTGATGTGAGAAATCTCAAGATCTTCTTACAATGTCTAAAATCAATGAGGTGGGTTAATGAATCATCTTTGGTGGTTGTCACTTGATAGAGTAGAAAAACGATGACTTCGGATCTTTGACAATTGTCACTAGATGAAGATGAGTTGGAGGTGGTGACTAGTTTCCTGATAGATTGTCCTCTTCTTGATGATGATTAGTTCATTGATTAATTAGAGATGATTTACTTGATAGATTCATGATATTTGTATCTAGAATTATTTGACAATTGGTAATTATGCTCTGTGAATCATGTTGATAATATTTTCATTAATGATTGAAAAATTCTGACAGCTTAATTGTTAATCTATGTTACAAGAAAATCATGATTTAATTAGATAAAAATATAAGTTTTGTCTCTAATGAGATTGGAACTTTGGTTGGTCATTTGCATATGTGAGAGAGGTAATTAATTACACTCATACCCTTACTTAGTGATCTCTCGAAGGTGCTTCTTTCTCCTAGGCCATGGGCATTATAGGTATAATTATATATAAAACTCACTTGAGAATGTTAGTGGGGGTTTAGTCTCACATTGGCTATTTTTCAACTTGTAAGACACATAGCAATACGTAAATGTTTCATCAATATCATACTCTCATGTGTGTATGACTACTCCTTAGCCCACGCCTAGCTAGCCACTAGTAGTGTGGAAGGGGAGTGATGAACATGTGCCACTTACTAGTCATTAGCCACTTGAGTCCCTTACTTGTGGCTCTATCTGATTTTGCTTCTAACCTACTTATGGGCTTGACTGGCTAGTGGGTTCCCACTTTTTTTATAAAATTTATTTTATTTCTCTTTTTTTATCTCAAAAATATGATTATAAAAATTATATAAATTCACACAAAATCACATGATTAATTAAAAAATTATATTAATTAATTTAAAAATATTTTTCATATTTTAACATAAATATAAGTCTATTTATCACGAGTTAAGATTTGAAATATATTATTAATTAATTATTAACTCATGACAATGAAGACTTATTAGTGACCATAATTTCGATCTCATCTTCTCCCTACTCAATGAGATAATCATACATACTGCAATGTCCCCACACTTGTTCACAACTGACAAGATAAAAGTGCACACCCACGAGCTATATAGGCTTGTTTAGTACTTGAAGAACTTCGCCATGATGACTATGCTATTGTGTGGTGAGGTATTGTGTTGAGGTACTATGTGGGAAAGCACAACTATCAAGGGGACCCGCATCGTTAGGTAAGTATAGCCTTATGATGATAATGCAACTATATTTAAAGCCTTTTGATGATAATGCAACTTCACATCTTCTACTTTCTTGAATTTTGTTGTTAGATTTGATCTTTATTTGTTGGATAAGACCAGTCCAAAACTCAAATCTCAAATATGGATTTACAATTACTTGTAATGATAAAGTTTCTCATAAGAGCATCTCAAGGAAATCAGATGATAATTTCAACATTTTCAGGAGGTAATGAGTCTATTTGCATTCAATTAAACATTCTAATATTTCATTATTAAACTATATTTAAAGCCTTTTGATGATAATGCAACTTCACATCTTCTACTTTCTTGAATTTTGTTGTTAGATTTGATCTTTATTTGTTGGATAAGACCAGTCCAAAATTCAAATCTCAAATATGGATTTACGATTACTTGTAATGATAAAGTTTCTCATAAGAGCATCTCAAGGAAATCAGACAATAATTTCAACATTTTCAGGAGGTAATGAGTCTATTTGCATTCAATTAAACATTCTAATATTTCATTATTAAACATTCTACATGAGTATTCTAATTGAATCTTGTAATCTCCTGTGATGGTAAAGATTACTAATCCATGATCAGTAAAAGTACTTAAATTGAATATTAGGATGATAATTTGAACTAGTATGATGTGTTCAGGTAAATTAGTCATGTTTGAATATAGTTACTAAGAAATTCGAGTATCTAGGCTAAAATTAGGCTCTTTAAAATATAGTGTTTCATCAAGAATCATGTTTATTTAAATGTTTTAATGCATGTTCACTAACTAAGGATATATGTTTTAATGATGAAAAGCACACAAATAAATGGATTGATTTAAGATAATTATTCACTACACATGCATATTCATGTGGACATGAGATTGAGTTTGTTAAAAAAATATCTATACAATAATTTAACTAATGTCTTACTCATGTTCTGAAATCTAAAATCTAGATGAGATTTAATGCATGAAGTTACTATTTTGTTTATTAAAATAATTAGTCTAATACCCTTAAAAAATTATTATTGATGTGAATGTTTAAGACATTGGATTTGGTGTGAATTTTTCAAATATAATATTAGTATAAAAGCTTATTCAATATATTGGATGTCTATAATGTCAGTTAATTAATTTAAATACATACAATTTATATTTTTTCAATATTTTTTAAATGTTGTATACAAGTACTAATTGCAAGGCTATGTGAAGCATAATAAGTCATCAATTTAATGGTGATTTGTTTGAGGTCATGAATCTGTCCACTTTACGTTCATGTTTTATTTCATGCAGTTCAAATACAAAATTGATAGATATTGTGATAACCTATTATTGAAACACTTATTTAAATCAATAAGACTTGGATATATACATATGTGTTTACTAAATACACTAACTACCTTACCTTTGACCATGTCACAACTTTAAAGGAAATGTAAATTGATTTCCAATGATTCAAATTTCTAATTATGTAAAAATAAATTAGTCGTAAAATTACATAAAAGGGGAAGATTTATGTTTGTAAGTTTCTCTTGAATCACTAGTTAGTTGTGAGCAGTCATCTTTGACCTGCCTACCATCTTGAGTTTTATTTTAATACCTTCCTTTAATAATCAAAGGGAAATTGAACACTCTTTCAATAAAGATCAGACTTGGATGTCGGAATACATTAAGATCAGATACATCAAAGTTTGAATTAGATGCATTAGGATTTTTCTCAACCTATTTCTGCATGCATTGCTTCTATCAATCAAATAGGTTACGATGTGAATAGCCAAAATAAATTAGTACATAACTCAACATCCTTCTAACCAGATTTTCCAACTGCAACTGATGTCAAACTGAAATATCAGAAAATCCAAATATGAAAGTAATAATGAGGCATTCTCAGAGATATGGTGTCAAACTCAAAAGAAATTTTGTATTGGTTAAAGCAGTTACTAATCTCAATTTAATCACCTAAGTTAGGATTGCTATAATCACCAGTGGAGTGGGCCACCAAAATCTCTATGGCTAGAAGATAATCTTAGGGTGAAATACTCTGAGCTGAACTTGGTAATCAATTGTTTGTATAACACTTTGTTGAACTGACACAAGAATGATGCATTCTTGAAGAGTGGAGATATGGTGTGATCTAGACCAATATAAAAATTCTTGAATATTCTAGATTTATATCTAAGAAATTGGTACAAATTTATGACAGAAAAAAGAAATGGTAGGATTTAAATAGTTGACCAAAATTCAAAATAAGATTGGATTTATTCATCCCTTGTTGATCTAGGTTCAATATTAAATGTACTAAAGGGTTGTGCCATATATAATAATATTTTGATTTTAAGTTCATTAAGCTCTTAAATCCTATCATCACTGAAGTCAAAATTCAAAAACAAATTTCATAATCAGCTTATTTAATTGTTCAACTATCTAATGGCTTTGTAGATCTGTTATCTACTAACCATTTTTGTAAGAATATCATGTCATTATAGAAAAATGAAAAATTATTAACCTAAATATATGAACTAGAGTTTTATTTATGTCTAAATATGTATCAAAAAACTTACATTTTACCCTTTTTCAGATATATATTAATAACTAGTTTCTAGCTTTCACTTCCATTAGTTTTAACATTTCCTTGTGAAAATCTTTGACCTCATAGTCTCATAAAGGTTAAGAAGTTTGACGAAGGGGAGAGGGATGTGGTTTAGTCTAAAATTGCATATTATTTTAGTCATTAAAGCTTAATTTTTGAACTACTAACAAGTCCTATTGACGTGACTTAGTCGTTGTATAGTAAATCATGCAAATTTAAAATTTATAAAGCTAAAAAATATGAATTTTCAGATATTTAGAAGTATTTCTAAACAAATATATCAATTATAATTCAATAGAACTTCCAAAAATAATGGTAATTTTCCAAGTCGATCACAGGGATGTAATATAATATCAAATAATTATTTAAATTTTTTCTTAAAGAATACTATTTTTTATGAATTTTACATTAAGAAATGAAAATAAAATATATTTAAAAATCATAAAAAAAAGAAATAAGGGTACGAACGTCAGAATGACGTCACCGCCTGGCGAACATGAATTGGACAAAAATAGAGTTCCACCCGATGATTCTTACATAAGCGATTATAGATGATTTAATTGATCAAATTAAGATCTATAGAAACTAGAAGAATTGTAATTGAAGAAGTATATCTTGGTAAATTTAAACCACACAAATTATCACTAACTAAAGTGAAAATTAAGTTAAAAGTAGGAAAATAGAGTTACGGTGTCATGACGACGATGCGTCAGCGATGCGTCAAAATCTTGAGCATTTGGAAGGATCGTCGTGTAGTGTCGATAGCCTCGAGGGCTCTCCTTAGACAAGGATGACGTGGGCAATCTCTAGATCTCCTTGCAAAGCCTAGAGATCAATGAAATGGGTCGTCGAATTGTCTTCGGTGGCTGTCACTCAATAGAACGGAAATTGGCGACTTTGCGGCTCTCCAATGGTTGTCACCCGACAGAGGAGCTTGATGGAGGTGGGGCGTGTGTTAGGGAGCTTCATCCTCAAGTTTGCGCAGCAAGAGGAGGCTCTTCATCGCATCCGGCACGCTCTCAAGAGGTGGCGACTTATCTCTTGGCGGATCGTCCTCTTCCCAATGACGGCTTGTTTGTCGATAAATTGGAGATGCTTTTCTCAATGGATTCACGATCCTTTTATCATGAATCATTCAACAATTTTAGTAACAATACTTTATAAATCACGTTGATGAGATTTTTGCCGATGATCTAGTGATTTTGGCAGCTTGACGTGACTTAATCATTGTATAGTAAATCACACAAATTAAAAATTTATAAAACTAAAAAATAGTAATATTTTTGGATATTTAGAAGTATTTCTAAATAAATATATCAATTAAAATTTATTAAAACTTCCAAAAATAACAATAATTTTCCAAGTCGATCACAGGGATGTAATATAATATCTGGTAATTATTCAGAATTTTCAGCAAATAATACTATTTTCTATGAATTTTATACTAAGAAATGAAAAAGAAATATATTTAAAATTTACGAAAAAAAGAAAATAAGGGTGTGGACATCATGATGACATCAGCACCCGACGAATGCAAATCAGACAGAAACAGAGTTCCACCCGACAATTCTTACGTAAACGATTATAGATGATTTAATTGATCAAATTAAGATATGTAAAAGCCAGAAGAAGCATAATGAAATGAAATATATCTTGGTAAATTTAAAATAAAAAAATTATCACTAAATGAAACGGAAATTAAGTTGAAAGTGGTAAAACAGTGTTTCGACGTTGCGGCGGTGATGCGTTGGCAATGCATCAAAATCTTGAGCATTTAGGAGGATTGTCGTGTGGTGTCCACGGCCTCAAAGGCTCTCCTTAGACAAAGACAACATGGGCAATTTCTAGATCTCCTTGCAAAGTCTAGAGATCAATGAAATGGGTCGTCGAATCGTCTCCGACGACTGTCACCTGGCGGAGCGAAAAAATGGTAACTTTGTGGCTCTCCGGCGGTTGTCACCCAATGGAGAGGAGCTGGATGGAGGTGGGGCGCGTGTTAGGGAGCTTCATCCTCAGGTCTACATAGCAAGAGGAGGCTCTTCATCGCATCCAGTACGCTCTTAGGAGGTGGCGACTCGTCTCTCGGCGGATCATCCTCTTCCTGACAACGGCTTGTTCGTCAATCAATTGAAGATGCTTTACTCGATGGATTCACGATCTTTTTATCACGAATCGTTCAACAATTTTAGTAACAATACTCTACGAATCGCGTTGACGAGATTTTCGCTGATGATCTAACGATTCTAGTTGCTTAATCCTTCACCGGCGATCTGTAGGAAAGCCACGATAATCAGATAAAAAATATGAATTTTGGCTCTAGGAAGATTCGAACCCGTGCTGGTTGCTCACCCTTTCTGGGGAAGGTGACGCGGATTTAGTCCCACATTGGTTGTGCGCCGACATTTCTGGTGAATATATAGTAATATTACATTTCTGATCAAGTCCCTTTCTCACGTGTGTACGACCACTCCTTGCCCCATAGCCGGTTGGCCACCGGTGACGTAGATGGAGGGTGACACACATGTGCCCTATCGGTCCAAGCTGCTCGAGCCCTTGTTCGCAGCTAGTCCCCAACTGTGCTTCTGACCCGCTTGCGGGCCCAACTGGCCAGTAGGTCCCCCCCATTTTGTCTTTTTTTTCTTTTATTTCTTTTTCTTTATTTATCTCAAAAGTAAGACTATAAAAATCATATAAATTCGTATAAAATCATATAATTACCCAAAAATTCATATTAATCAACTGAAACCACTTTTCACACTTTAACATAAATATAAGTCTATTTATCATGAGTTAAGGCTAAAACTATATTATTTATTAATTATTAACTCATGATAATGAAGACTTATCACAACTTAATCCTTCACTAGCGATCTGTAGGAAAGTTGTGACAATTAGATAAAAAAATATGAGTTTTGACTCTAGGAGGATTCAAACTCGCACCAGTTGCCTACCTATATGAGAGAGATTGACATAAGTACTCTAATGCCCTTATCAAATGACGTCATCATAGTATATCTTTGTTATAAATAAGGGGTCTTTTAGGTATTTAAATCATCGAACCCTTTTTGGGGAAGGTGTGATGCGGGTTTAGTCCCACATCACTTGTGCGTCAAAGTTTCAGGCAAATATATAGTAATATTATATTTACAAACAAGTACCTTTCTCGCGTGTGTATGACTACTCCTTGCCCCACAGCCGGTTGGCCACCAATGACGTAGAAGGGGAGTGGTGCACACGTGCCCCAATCGGTCCTAGTTGCTTGAGCCATTTATTTTTTTGAACTCTTTTGATGGCTTATCTACATGAGAGAGTATAAAACTATCAAAGTCCATTTAAGAATACTAGAGGATTTATTTCAAGGTTAGTTTAAATGTATAAATGGAAATAATATCATAATCATAAGTTACTTATATTAATTTAATCATGTATATATCTTTTTTATCAAAGGGTGATCCTTTAATGGATATTTGATCAATGATCAAGTGTTTCTTTCATGAAGAATCATTGGATCTCAATAATTAACACCTTGAATCAATAAATATAACTCATATGATATTACACAACACATTGAATAATTAATTTAACTTAATGGCATATATAAATAACTCTCAATATTTAATAAATAATTTTTCACTTGTAACATCAAAACCAAGGGGATTGATTAGTCTTCATTATCATGAGTTAATAATTAGTAAATAATATAGTTTTAGCCTTAACTCATGATAAATAGACTTATATTTGTGTTAAAGTGTGAAAAGTGGTTTTTAGTTGATTAACGTGAATTTTTGGGTAATTATGTGATTTTATATGATTTTTACAGTCTTACTTTTGAGATAAATAAAGAACAAGAAATAAAAATAAAAATATTGCAAAATGGGGGGACCTCGTCGGCCAGTTGGGCCCACAAGCAGGTCGGAAGCTCAGTTGGGGAGTAGCTGCAAGCAAGGGCTCGAGCGGCTTAGACCGATAGGGGCACGTGTGCGCCACTCCCCTTCCACGTCACCAGTGGCCAGCTGGCTGTGGGGCAAGGAGTGGTCGTACACGCGAGAGAAGGTACTTTGCTTACAAATCTAACATTACTATATATTCGCCCAAAAAATCGGCGCACAACTGATGTGGGACTAAACCCGCGTCACACCTTCCTCAGAAGAGGTGGGCGACCGGCGCGGGTTCGAGTCCTTCTAGAGTCAAAAGTCAAATATTTTTATCTGATCATCGTGACTTTCCTGCAGATCGCCGGTGAAGGACTAAGCAACCAGAATCGCTGGATCATCGGCAAAAATCTCGTCAATGCGATTCGCGGAGCATTGCTACTAAAATTGCTAAAGGATTTGCAATAAAAGGATCGTGAATCCATCGAGTAAATCATCTTCGATTGATCGATGAACAAGCCGTCGTCGAGAAGAGGACGATCTGCCAAAAGACGAGTCGCCACTTCTTGAGAGCGTACTAGATGCGATGAAGAGCCTCCTCTTGCTACCCGGACCTAAGGATGAAGCTCCTTGACATGCGCCCCACCTCCATCCAGCTCTTCTCTGTTGGGTGACAGCCGCTGGAGAGCCGCAAAGTCACCGTTTTTCCGCTCCGCTGGGTGACAGCTGCCGGAGATGACTCGACGACCCATTTTATTAATCTCTAGACTTCGCAAGGAGATCTAGAGATTGCCCACGTCATCTTTGTCTAAGGAGATCCTTCGAGGCTGTGGACACTACACGACGATCTTCCTAAACGCTCAGGATTCCGGTGCATTGCCGACGCATTGCCGTCACGACATTGGAACTCTGTTTTCCTGCTTTCAACTTACTTTACGCTTCATTTAGTGATAGTTTTTGTGATTTTAATTTACCAAAATATACTTTGTTCTATTACAATTTTTCCGGCTTTTACAAATCTTAATTTGATCAATTAAATCGTCTGTAATCGCTTACGTAAAAATCACCAGGCGAAACTCTGTTTCTGCCCGATTTGCGTTCGCCGGGCGCTGACGTCATCCTGATGTCCGCACCCTTATTTCCCTTTTTGTGAATTTTAAATATATTTCCTTTTCATTTCCTACTATAAATTTCATAGAAACTCGTATTCATTGAGAAAATTTTTGAATAATTACCAAATATTATATTACATTCCTATGATCGACTTGGAAAATTACCACTATTTTTAAAAATTTTATTGAATTATAATTGATATATTTATTCAAAAATACTTCTAAATATCTGAAAATTCGTATTTTCTAGTTTTATAAATTTTAGATTTGTGTGATTTAATATATAATGACTGAGTCATGTTAGGGATCAACAAGTTTCTTTTAAAAAACTATCAATCAACAATTGTTACAATCCAAAAAAACCCTATTCAAGAATAACGACCTTGATGGTCTTTTAAACACATCATAGAGATAAAAGTATTCCAAAATATTTAATATGATACTTGAGATATTTTGATAATCTCTGGAAAGGTTGATAAAGTAGTAATCTCACAATTTAAAAGAGTTTAATTAGATGCAGAATCTCATTTCCATGGAAGCAATTATTTATTTGCTTCTTTCTAGATTTTGCATATGCCAGCTCTAATAAATTGACAATTGAAATTCTTCCCAGTGTTCGCAACTTAGTGTATTAGACAGAATTTGTGCATTATGTTGTACTTGTGGTGTGCAAGTTTTGAAACATGCAATCTGTAGTGGTCCAATAAAAAACTAGACTAAAAGCATATTATTCAAGAAACCCTATTATTATCTCAATCCTAAAGTCTCAATATCAATATTTTTCAGTAGTAGTCTTTTATTACATGTTTCACATCATATAAAAAGTATAAAGTTGATATCAATTTTCTTCTACTTCAAAGATGAAAATCAATTCCTCATTTAAAACTACAAATATTTTATAGACCTCAAAAAAGACAGGTCTTTCTGAGGTCTATGACTACATTAAATAATTAGTTACTCAAGTGGATGTTAAATATTTCGAGAATCTTTGCATCCTTGGCCAAGAAGATCAATGAAAATTTAAGAACTTAAATCATCGGAAAATTTCATGTCATGTTGAAATTTTGAAAAATACCTAAAGACTGTTCAAAACTTACTATTCAATAACAAAGAACGTTGACCAACTCCCTAAGCCAACTATCAACTGCATTCTAGGAAGTTTCCTCATATCCAGGCTCTTCTATCGACTATTGCCTTGTATCATCTTCTTCATTGCAAAATTATCCATCACGATGGCGTTATTGTTTGTAATGCTGGCCTCCTGTTAAACCCCCCCTTTAGCTTGTAGCCCAACTTTGGTCAATTGACTTTTGGTAGGTCTTAGCTTACCCGAACATGGATGTACCCTTGACTTTATGAGAACTCTTCCCTCGAATTCATGCAAGTGAGACTAGGGACTGATATTAACCGGTAACAAACGAAAACGTCCCTTGGTATAGGTGCGAGAACTACTCTTATAAAGTGTAATTTACCATCTTTTACCATTTAATGTTGACGCAATTATTTTATTAAATTCTCCTGTAGGAAAATGTGGACAAAAAGTTAATATCAAAATTTAAAACTTTTAGGTCATTCAGCTCAAAAGTTAATTGCCAATGGTTAATGCTCAACCATCTAGAGAACTTAGTTTTAGTCATATTTTATAAGTCAGAAATTGTAGAACGAGACATTTTTAAGGGATCATGTGATATGAATTATGAGAGATGATTATATCCTTACGAAAAAGAAACTAGAGAGACAGATACTTGTAGGCATATACTTTTCACATAGTTTAAAAACTCTAGATTAAAGAGAGCACTTAGTAGTTACCAAGTATGCTACATAGTAGAGTGGAAAACTACAAACCAAAAACCTTTCTTTCTAAGTTTATTGCCAAGAAAAAGGAAACATCTCATTCAACCTGACTTGCGTCAAATTCGGTTTTGAAGTTTGCTTACAGTAGATTTAATAATGAACTTGATGATATATGAAAATTATTGGATCATTTAACAATAATTGCCAACTATATATCGACGAAAGTATAAAGTTTTAACTTGGTGACATGTGGGTATCTCAATTTTTTTCCGTGATTGACCTTTTGATAGGTTATTTTATCAGTGACTACCGATTTTAATTCCCGAAAAAAACTCATACTGTGGAACAGGAACAGTCTCTCTCTCTCATGGGTTCCCTCAAGTTCGCTTTTGGATATATGCCCAACGGACACGGCATGGGGGAAGATATGTCCCATCATCAAGACGTACGCCGTCAGTTTCTTTTCCGTCGAGGTCCATTTGCTGACCACAGCACCGGTATCCATTGTTGACTAACAAAATGTACAGTTTTAGGACCACAGACCGGTATATAGACGACTCGAAATGGAAGATTTACAACTACGGAGAGAGGGAAGCGGACAAGAGACAGACAGACGGACAGAGAGGAGGCACGGAGACAAGGGAGAAGGAGAGCGAGAAGGAGAAACAGAGAGGGAGAGAGAGTGAGAGACGGGACAGAGAGAGAGAGAGAGAAATGAGTCTAGTTCGATTCCTGCTCCTACTGCAGCTGGTGTTCACAGCTGCACCCCAGACTACGAGAGCTTTCAACACCGCACGCCGGTCCTGCAGAGACAAGTGCGGCAAGATCGATATCCCCTACCCGTTTGGCATATGAGACGGGTGCTACGCTGCGGAATACGGCAACTTTGGTATAACCTGCGATGAGACATCCAACCCTCCGAAACCCATTCTCATCACCGACCCCCCGCTCGAGATCATTAAGATCGACATCACCCAAGGCACGCTGACAGTCAAGGGATACGTCGGTCATCAGTGTTTCTTCCAGAACGGATCAACCAGCACTAGGCACCTCTCCTATAATTTCGGCTCACTACCTTACACCTTCTCGAAAACAAGAAACACCTTCATGGTAGTCGGCTGCGACACCCAGGCGTTCGTCCATTTCAAAGAAGGTGCCGCCGGCTGCTTGACTTATTCCACCAGCTCGAAGGCTCTGAGGGAAAGCGGCTGTAAGGGATTGGGATCTCGATGGGGATTGGGCTGCTGCACGTCAGAGATCCCCAACGGCCTCAAGTCTCTGGAGGCGAATATCAGCAGATTTGCTAACTACGCCAACTCCCTAGCCTCCGACCATTGTGGCTTCGCGTTCTTGGCGTCGGGGTATAGCTACGATTTTCCCCCCTCTGATCTCGATGACAGAAAATTGGCCGACGCGGATGTACCCATAGAGCTCGATTGGTCAATCGGGAACCAGACCTACGATGAAGCCGAGAGAAATTCTGCCAGGGGATACGCCTGCCCCAGCAATAACAGTAGATGCTATGGTCGGTATGAGGGCCGCGTCGGATACCTCTGTCGCTGCTCCAGCTACAACGGCAATCCTTATCTGGAGAGCGGCTGCGAAGGTATAGCGACTGCGGGCTCCACGACGACCTGCCTCTATTTTACCCATATTGCTCAGACATGAATTTCTTTTATTTTCTTTTATATATAATATTAGGAAGATGTACTTAGGTTATGATTCAATTCTTCAAGATTTGAAATATAGAAACTTTGCTGGAGTTTACTTTTCGAATGATCGGGTTTAGAAATTTCAGTTTACCTTGCCGGATCTCGGCCGCTCCGAGCCAGCACAGGTAAGAGTTCATGAAAAACGGGCGTTGGGCCCCTGGATTCATAAGAAAGGGCCCCAGGTTGAACCCTCGAAGATTGGACACGACCCAAATTAAGACCTGACTGAGCAGGCTTTCACGCAATGTTTTGAGGCGTTAATTTTCAGAAAATGTGGGATTTTGACAATATTGATGAAGTCTCTGCGAGTAAAGTTTCCATTTTTAGCTCACAATCACATTTCACGGGTTAGAATCGGTGAATCCTTGGAAAGTTTGATATCTTTACGTTTTCAAGCAAACTGACTATGGTTTCGCGTCTGCTTTCCGTCTGAATAGCTGTAGGGAGCCTAAAAGTCAGCACTACCTTCTTCCGGGTTGATATTCCGCCACTCTGGCTTATTATTGGTGCGTTGAATCGTCTCCCCGAGCTCTTAAACTCCAAGAAAACGGGGGTCATATTCTCGCCGGGACCACGTGTTTTTGCTGGGTATTTCAAAAGAGAAAAGTCGTCAAGCAGAGGAAAAAGTTTGCGGAACTCAAAAGAAGGATGTTCGAGCAGAATGGGGGCCTCGTGCTGCAGGAGCATATCTCATCTCAGCCGGGAAACACCTTCAAGATATTCAGCGAATCGGAGCTGGTCAAGGCCACTGACGGTTTCCACGACGACCGAATAATCGGGCGAGGAGGCTACGGCGTGGTCTAAATGGACCGACTGGAGGGCGGGGTGCTTGTTGCCATCAAGAAGTCCAGAATCATGGACGAGAGGGAGAGCAAGGAGTTCGCCAGGGAGATGGCCATCCTCTCCCAGATCAACCACTTCAACGTGGTCAAGATCCTGGGCTGCTGCCTCGAAGTGGAGGTCCCCATGCTTGTTTACGAATTCGTCCCGGGCGGCACGCTCTTCGGCTTAATCCACCGCCGGAGGAGCGGAGAGCCGATCGCCCTGGCAACCCGCCTGAGGATTGCTTCAGAGATCTCCTAAGCTCTGGCGTACTTGCACTCGTACGCTTCACCCCCGATATTCCACAAGGACGTCAAGACGTCCAACATTCTTCTGGACGGGAACTGCCGGGCAAAGGTCTCCGACTTCGGGGCTTCAGCAGTAGCTCCGGCCGACGAGGCGGAGGTGGCGACAGTGGTGCATGGAACCTGCGGCTACCTCGACCCGGAGTACCTGCAGACGTATCAGTTCACGGAGAAGAGCGACGTCTACATCTTTGGCGTGGTGCTGGTGGAGCTGCTGACCGGGAGAAAGCCATTTCAGGCCCAAGATGCCGGAGATCACCGGGGTCTGGCTATGACCTTCGTGTCCTATTTCCGGCATGACAGGTTGGCGGAGATTCTGGACGCTGACGTTCTTCAGGATGATCAGATGGAGAGGCTAGTTGATATCGCTGAGCTAGCATGCCGGTGTCTGAGCATGAGGGGGTTCGACCGCCCAACTATGAAAGAAGTCACTATAGCTCTGCATGCAATGGGCGGCCTACCATGGGAGAACCCTTCGCTTACCCCATACACTCCGGAGGGAACTGATAACCAGTTGGGCCAAGGTCAGTCGACGGCGTACGGGAACATGTATTCTGGTATCCCGGATGACAGTGCCGTTCTTGGGATCAAAACAGGGCATTGAGATGATGTTATATTCCTCCCCTGTACCTCCATCACTGGGAACCGACGACGAACCACATAAGGTTCCATTATATTAAACTATGATCTACATTGCCATATACCTATTTATAGCATGGTGTGAATCAAGCATGATTGTTCATGGACTAGAATAGGAAGAAAAAGTTTTTACGGATGTGAAAGGCTGGAAATATCGCATTGTGCTTGCCGGAATGGTATCTACCAAACTTAAACTTTTAAATAAGAGATTTCTGAGAAAAAGGACAAGACAAAACTTTACCAGAAATTTATACAATTGTGATTTAAAAATAAAACCAGTCTAGTAGTTTCTTGCAAAGAATTCTTTTCAACGCATGTAAAATACAGATGAACATCAAGTCGTAAATGCCCTTCACATTATATCCTTGACTTATACGAGAGGTAGGTGAGATGAATCTTCAAATACAAATGATGTATTATGCCTTACGGTTTTGGGAGTGTAAATAGCTTTGATCATGAAAAGGTGGATAGAAGGGTAAAACGAGAACGTTAGCAAGGTAAAAATTTATCCCGTTGTGATCTTAAATCATTGAAGATGAAAATGTCTCTTTAACAAAGAAAAATACTTGAGGGGTAAAATTATCTCTATCAGAAATTTTTTAAATACAGGTTTCTATCACTAATATAGGCGAACAGGATACAAGTTCATGAAAAGTGAAATTTTTCGAATTGGTAAAATTTTAAATTTTATTTGATAATTTATCAAACATAAATTGATTTGTACACGTGACAACAAATGACTTGACATCTAGCCATTGAAAATATCTTTTGGATGTTCCAAAACCCTAAGTATAAAGAGTGGACATAGACCCACATTAAAACCACCAAAAAAGAAGTGGAATCTAGTTGCTACTCAAGTATTCAAGTTTCCTCACAGGAATGGCTTATACCATATCAAGAAAAAGAGCTTTACACAAGGAAGTTGTGGGCTGAAATGTGAAATAAATGGTAACCCATTCAAACTGTGTAATTTGACTAAAATAGTAATTTGTTCATTTGAGTAGAGCCATTACTCATTTGACATGAACCAAGAAAAAATCATCAATCTAGGAGGGATTAAAAATGTGATAATTTTGTTTTTGTGGACCTAGAGTTGTAAATCTAGAAGGGATTAATAGGGTGCTAGTCATGTTGGGCAAAGGTAGAGTCATGAGCATTGAAGATGGTTGATCAACACATAGTCATTGAATTTTGACAATTATAACAGAACTTAGAAGATGAAAATTAGCTTTAAATTTATTGTGAGTTTAGGTCAATCCTCAGGGATGACTTTCAAATTCATAATATCAAATTCCATTCTCAGATACTAATTGCCATAAAAGGAACTATGAAAAAAGGTTTTCTCTAATTCCTAGTCACTGTTGCCACATCTTCACTAGTAAGAAGATAGTAGCAAGGAAAGTGCATGGAGAAGTGAGGAAAAAGAAGAGAAGAAGAGGGGAGAGAATAGGCAATGTGTAAACAACATTCAACATTGGAACTGAAGTCATGGACATCACTCCTGCAGTAAGAAAACAAATTTCAAGACGAACTGAAAATGAACATGCCCTATTTGCCAACCAAGGATGAAAATAAAACTGCTAAAACTAACTTCACGCACAAAACTAACTAGAAACATAAATCAGTAGGCCAACAGTCTAACCCCACCACATGTCTGTCACTCACATGGCTAGTCTAGTGAAAACAACGAAAATGAAACACAAATTGGACGAAATAAGCTTAGTTAATTAGTCCCCTTGTCCGTTGCCCTCCGTCAGTCACCCAGAGGGCAGTCTGTCTATTGCTGCTGTGCTCAGCCAGCCATGGAGTTGCTCCATCCACCACCACCATGCTCAGCCTGCTGTGGACGCCGCCATGCTCACCTTTGTTGTGATGCCCTTCTGCCCCCTAGCCCTGTCGTGGTCTCTTCTCTCTCTCTCTCCCCCCCACCCTACGAAGTCTCAATGATGGGCCTCCATATTAGGCCTGATATCATTATCCCATTAACATCTCCGACTTAAGCTTTTATGATGGGCTTTCATATAGGGCTTGGTATCATTGGCCTATTAACATCTTACTACCCTACATAAATTTACATAAGTCCATGGGTTTTTTTTCCTATATTTAATTTTCATCATTTTCCTGTCAATTAAAAAATATTTCTCAAGACTATATGTTGTGAATAGTCATCTTAGGATATAAGTTAAATCGTCAAATGGTCATTTCTAAAAAATAATATGTTGGTCCAACAAGAACTCATGAAACATGTTATTAAATCTAGTTGATCTTTTCTATTCAATTTGATTTCATTTGAACTTAGTTAATGTGGTATTTAGTATCATTCTTCTTCAATTATTATATAAAAATTAGGTATTAACAACGGTTTTAGGGAAAAATAATAAGACTTGGCTATCATTGTTAACTCTAATGATAAGCTTATTGAAATTTTCTTTTTAGTAAAGTCAAAGATTTAGTCAAAGAAAAGACACTGTCCTCTTAGTGTGGAGTAGGTCAAGTCGACCACACCATAAATTTGTATGACTAGATTGAAAAAGAATCAAGAATTCAATAGAAACTACTAAAAGACTGATTCACCCCCCTAGTTTCTAGTGCTAATTTAGCAAGTGGCATTAAAGCTAGTGACATGACTTAGTCGTTGTATAGTAAATCACATAAATTTAAAATTTATAAAACTAGAAAATACAAATTTTCAAATATTTACAAGTATTGCTGAATAAATATATCAATTATAATTTAATAAAAATTTCAAAAATAGTGATAATTTTCCAGGTCAATCATAGGGATGTAATATAATATCAAGTAATTATTTAAAATTTTCTTCAAAAAATATTATTTTTTATAAATTTTATACTAAGAAATAAAAATGAAATATATTTAAAATTTACGAAAAAAGAAAATAAGGGTGCAGACGTTAGGATGACATTAGCGCCCGGTGAATACAAATCAAGTAGAAATAGAGTTCAACCTAGCGATTCTTACGTGAGCGATTACAGATGATTTAATTGATCAAATTAAGATCTGTAAAAGCCGAAAAAATCGTAATTGAATGAAGTATATCTTAGTAATTTAAATCACATAAATTATCACTAAATGAAATAAAACTTAAGTTGAAAGTAGAAAAATAGAGTTTCAACGTCTCGACGGTGATGCGTTAACAATGTATTAGAATTCTAAGTGTTCGGGAGGGTCGTTGACGTGACTCAGTCGTTGTATATTAAATCACGCAAATATAAAATTTATAAAACTAGAAAATACGAATTTTCAGATATTTAGAAGTATTTCTAAATAAATATATCAATTATAATTCAATAAAAATTCCAAAAATAGCGGTAATTTTCCAAGTCGATCACAGGGATGTAATATAATATCTAGTAATTATTCAGAATTTTTCTCAATGAATACGATTTTCTATGAATTTTATACTAGGAAATAAAAAGGAAATATATTTAAAATTCACGAAAAAGGGAAATAAGGGTGCGGGCGTCAAGATGACGTCAGCACCCGGCGAACGCGAATCAGGCAGAAACAGAGTTCCGCCTGGCGATTCTTACGTAAGTGATTTCAGACGATTTAATTAATCAAATTAAGATCTGTAAAAGCCGGAAGAATCGTAATAGAACAAAGTATATTTTGGTAAATTAAAATCACAAAAACTATCACTAAATGAAGCGTAAAGTAAGTTGAAAGCAAGAAAACAAAGTTCTGGCGTCGCGACGGCGATGCGTCGGCGATGCACCGGAATCCTGAGCGTTCGGGAGGATTGTTATGTAGTGTCCACAGCCTCGAAGGCTCTCCTTGGACAAAGACGACGTGGGCAATCTCTAAATCTTCTCGCGAAGTCTAGAGATCAATGAAATGGGTTGCTGAGTCGTCTCCGGCGGCTGCCACCCGGCGGAGCAGAAAAATGACGACTTTGCGGCTCTCCGGCGGCTGTCACCCGACGGAGAGGAGCTGGATGGAGGTGGGGCGCGTGTCAGGGAGCTTCATCCTCAGGTCCGCGCAGCAAGAGGAGGCTCTTCATCACATCTGGTACGCTCTCAGGAGGTGGCGACTCGTCTCCCGGCGGATCGTCCTCTTCCCGACGACGGCTTGTTCGTCGATCAATCGGAGATGATTTACTCGATGGATTCGCGATCCTTTTATCGCGAATCGTTCAGCAATTTTAGTAGCAATGCTCCGCGAATCGCGTTGACGAGATTTTCGCCAATGATCCAGCGATTCTGGTTGCTTAATCCTTCACCGGCGATCTGCAGGAAAGTCGCGATAATCAGATAAAAATATATGAATTTTGACTCTGGGAGGATTCGAACCCGTGCCGGTTGTCCGCCCCTTCTAAGGAAGGTGTGACGCGGGTTTAGTCCCACATCGGTTGTGCGCCGATTTTTCAGGCGAATATATAGTAATGTTAGCTTTTTAAGCAAAGTCCCTTCTCTCGCGTGTACGACCACTCCTTGCCCCACAGCCGGCTGGCCACCGGTGACGTGGAAGGGGAGTGGCGCACACGTGCCCCTATCGGTCCAACCTGCTCGAGCCCCTGCTCGCGGCTACTCCTCGACTGAGCTTCCGACCCGCTTGCAGGCCCGGCTGGCCGGCGGGTCTCCCCCATTTTGCAATATTTTATTTCTTTTTCTTCATTTATCTCAAAAGTAAGACTGTAAAAATCATATAAATTCGTATAAAATCACATAATTATCCAAAAAATCACATTAATCAACTGAAAACCACTTTTTACACTTTAACACAAATATAAGTCTATTTATCACGAGTTAAGGCTAAAACTATATTATTTACTTATTATTAACTCATGATAATGAAGAATTATCAATCGTCATGTAGTGTTCACAGCCTCGAAGGCTCTCCTTAAATAAGGACGACATGGGCAATCTATAGATCTCCTTGCAAAGTCTAGAGATCAATGAAATGGGTTGTCGAATCGTTTCCGATGGCTGTCACCCGGCAGAGCATAAAAATGACGACTTTGCAGCTCTCTAGCGGCTATCTCCTGACGGAGAGGAGTTAGATGGAGGTGGGGTGCATGTTAAGGAACTTCATCCTTAGGTCTGCACAACAAGGAGAGGCTCTTCATCGCATTTGGTACGCTCTCAAGAGGTGGCGACTCGTCTCCCAATAGATCATCCTCTTCTTGACGACGGCTTGTTCATCGATCAATCGGAGATGTTTTACTCGATAGATTCGCGATCCTTTTCTCACAAATCGTTCAGTAATTTTAGTAACAATGCTGCGCAAATCGCATTGACGAGCTTTTCGCCGATGATCCAACGATTCTAGTAGCTTAATCGTTCACCGGCGATCTGCAAGAAAGTCGCAATAATCAAATAAAAAATATGAGTTTTGGCTCTAGGAGGATTTTAACCCGTGCCGGTTGCCCACCCTTTCTAGGGAAGGTGTGATGCAAGTTTAATCTCACATCGCTTGTGTCGCGAAGTTTTTGGCAAATATATAGTAATATTACATTTGGAATCAAGTCACTTTCTCGCATGTGTACGACCACTCCTTGCCTCATAGTTGGCTACCCACTAGTGACGTGGAAAGGGAGTGGCGCACACGTGCTCCTATCAGTCCTAGCTATTTGAGCCCTTATTCGCAGCTCCTCCCCAACTATGCTTCCGACTTGCTTGCGGGCTGGCTGGGTGGCAGGTCCCCCCCATTTTGCTATATTTTTATTTTTATTTCTTTTCTTCATTTATCTCAAAAGTAAGACTATAAAAATCATATAAATTCATATAAAATCACATAATTACCCAAAAATTCACGTTAATCAATTGAAAACTACTTTTCACACTTTAACACAAATATAAGTCTATTTATCATGAGTTAAGACTAAAACTATATTATTTATTAATTATTAACTCATGATAATGAAGACTTATCAGCCAGCTTTCTTCGAATTAACAATTATACCATGGGTAACATATCAAAATTATTTTTGCAGAAAAACACTTTACACATTGACCTTTTTTGTTCAAAAACATGAATTACTTCATTGGAAAATCTGTAATAAGTTTTTGATCATGCCCCAAATTAAAAAAAATTGAGGAAAATAACTTGTGTATAATGGCTTAGAGAGATGAGGTGTCATCTAAATAATCGTCATCTAATTAAAAACTAGTAGACTTTTAATGAATTTCCATTAACTACTTATCACATACCAAGAGTGCACAATTAAACTCAAGATTTTAGTCAAACATTGTAATTGAGAAATAATGAAACTAACAATTGCAAAGCCAACATGCTGATTTTAAATTTATCTTTTGGATTAATAAAAAATAGATTTTCATTTAAATCATAAAACTTAGATATAATTCATTCCTTGGAAAAAAAATTATTATAAGCTTTTTTAATATTATAAAAATAAATAAACATAAGATAGAAGGCCAAAAATTATTCTTATTGAAGCTCTTATTTTTTCTTGTGATAAATGAGGGCACACTTAAAATAAAATAAGAGGAATTTGGATACATAAATAAATATTTAGACCCTTCTAATGTAATGCAATCCAAAGTAGTTTTGGCTTGCAAAACTCAAATTTTTGTCTAAATATATTAGGGATGTATTCAGTATGGGAAAACAACAATAATACTAGGACAACAGGCACTAAAAGCTCATGACTTGAGAAATAAAAGGATATATCACCAAAACCATATCTTCAAACTTTTTCATATTTTTATGAAAACTCCTAGCTCCTTACTGATATACATTATAATCTTAGAGGTTAGTTGTAATGGTGATATGAGAGTAGAATCATTTAGAGGGTCAAATCATTGGTTAAATTCATGATGGAGCCAAAACCAGAGTCTAGACGAGAGAAGAGAATACCTTGAGTGGAGAAGCATATTGAAGAGGAAATAGAAGAAAAACAATGTCTTTGATATTGAAAGAAAACTAAGATTTGAAAAGAGTGTGGTTTGCAATCTTGTGCTGAAACCTCTAAATAAATTAGAAAGAAACGAACTGAATGAGCACAATGATATTTTAGGTTTAAAACTTAAGAAGAGCCTAGCATGAAAGACTAGGTTCAAGCTATAAAGTGTCACAATGATATTTTAACTTTATGTGGGTGATCACTTATGGAGAAACAAATTTCCAATTTTGTCTAGTGTCAGAACACTAAAGTTAAAATTCTTTTAATTAGATGGAATGTATTAAATAAAAAGACCCCCTATGGATTCGAATTGAATGAACACTGAGTATTACTGATCAAAAGTTTTGTAGAGTAATTGTTAATTCGTTCATAATTAATAACCAATAAGTGACAAATTCTCACTAGTGTTTGCCTTTATTTTTAGTTTTAAAGAAATAGGAAAGAGTCACAATTGACACTTACCAAAAAGACCTTATACTATCTACATAAAATGTTCACTTTTACAAATTGGTATTTAAAAATTCCGATTCTGCGATAATATAGTTTAATAATTCGCATATTGTCAAGAATGTGGTCAAGTAGGTTTTGAATCATCCTTTGTAGGTGCTTAGTTTAACTACTATGAATGAGACAAGAATCACATGGCTTCTCCACTACTGAGGCTAAATGTGAATCTTCTATTTGTGTTGTGCCCAAGGTTTATGCATCTAAATGCATCTAAATTACTGAAGTGATTAACCTTGCCACTAGTCTTGTTATCCATACCTGCTAGATAATAATGAAAAACCTCATTTACTGTCAGATCATGCTCAGAAGGAAAATATTTTATTCAAGTTTTTAGAGACATAAAAGTACACTAAAAACATAATCGCAAGACTGATTCATAGAAGATGAAATGTTACTCGGTTATCTCTTATGACTGTAAAACTAGTACGTCTTGGACTGTTCATCATGAATCATATGAAGTCCGTAATGACATGAGGTCCCTGTGATATGTTTATCACTAAAATTATTCAAAATTTCAGTATTGTTTTTAAAGTAGAAAGCTCCACTTACCTGAAAAATACTAACCACATTGATATATCTACACTTTCCCGACTGGGATACTCATTCATCAACAATAAATAGACCTCTTGCAAGATCCCTGGAAAGTAGGACCCAGCTATGATCAGAATACTCCATCATGCTCTACAAATCTTTCACATTCGGGTTTCCCTTCCATGATATTTTGAAAAAAAATCCACCGGTACTGCCATGGCATTCTTTCAACACATTGATGCTCGCCACAATACATTTGAGCACAGGTTGGATCATGCACTCCGAAGGTGATAAGAGAGAGGACAACTCCTAAAAATGTCAACAGATCCACTAATTGAAACTGGTCAGACAGTTTCTTTCGAGCCCATGTAACAGAAAAGGGAAGGACAACGTGCTGACCAAAAGGGGAAAAAAGGGGGAGAAACTCGATAGAGTACTGTTTACAACTAATATTTCATCACTGGGACAAAAGGGGAGCCTCAGTTACAAAGCCTATTTTTTTTATACTGACAAAAAGGGAAAAAAAGTGCAGGGAAGAAGATGAAGAAATTAAAAGTTTTGGAACAAAAAATGGAGAAATGTGGTGTAAATATGGAAGAGCAAAAGGGAACATAAGAAACAATCCTTTTTTGTTTCAATGCTCAGTTACAACTATATGTTTGTTTCATCTCGATGTTCCTTTTGTTTGATTGCTTTCTATGTTCTCAAATGGTTGTGATTTTTTTCTATCAACAATTTTCGATATGCAAACAGTTTAAAAAATTTATGGGAGAATTCATGTTAGAGTAGTCTCATATGGAGGAGACTGAACTAATATACTAATACATGTTCACTTCAAATCATTCTCATATTTCTGAGTCAATCATACTTACTCAAATACTAGATTGACTGATTTCGAAATTCACTGAAACATAGTGATAAACCACTTGGATTTTAAAATCTTAAATTAGATTTTTATCTAGTGAAAAATAAATTTTAAATATCTGAAATATTCAATGCTTTAGAAAACTGGCTCTAAATATTTTGAGCAGATTTCAGTCTATAGAGCATGTTACTACAGAACTGTGAATTGAGTTCTTAGATCTTTCAAATAGTATTTTCCGGAATTCAAAGAATATGAGCAGGTCAACAGACATCAAGGTTGTAAAAGTCAGTATCTTACTTCATCAAGATCCCCAATCAGATCTATCGATTACTGAATTTTCTAAAAAGCTTAATTTGCATTGTAGTCACCTACAATCTTATAGATTTCAGTCTATATTTTTTCTAATCTCACTTGATTTTTTTGTCTAAATACTTAAACTTAGTATAGAGATTATAAAATCAAATTTTATGTATGTCTGGAATTCTTAGACTTGGAAAACCAATTTCTCAAACTTTATGTAGGTCTGGAATTCTTAGACTTCCAAATTATGACCAGTTATGGAAGATCAGTTTTGTTTCTACTAATAAAAAAGTTAGTATTGAGATTTATACGTGATCATAAAGTTATAAAATTACCTTGATCAGATTTGCCAAGTTATTGAACATCTGAGCCTCAAATTGAGTTTATAATAGTTATATTGTATGCACATCCATATTTGTAATAGTTCTATCATAATTAATACTATTTACGTACATTATAAATAGAGTTGATAGTTGGTCATGCATTAATTATTGGTTTTAATGTATGTAAATGTAACAAAGTCTATAACTGAACTCTATGAATAAATTTTAGTATTAGTATGGGTTTAAGTCGATCCTTATGGATAGTGAGAACTAGTTTTTGATGAATTTTATTTTTTCTAACACAAATACTAACTAAAAAGAATGGAACAAAGTGAAATGTGATGATAGAAATGATGTAATCTTCTCTTTAATACTTAATATCCTCCTTCCCCAATTAATTTTATAAATTTAATTATCTTATCAGCTCTAGATAATCAGAAAAGGGTTTTAATAGTTTGATGATTAAATCACAAATAGAGAAATATAGATTAGAGATTATGGAATGGAGAAGGGTGGTTGTCAATAGAATGACTTCTATTGATGTGGATTATATTTTGAAATAATTTGAACTAAGATATAAAGTAAAATTAAAATAAATTGAGTGTAGAAATACCTTGGTTTTCAATCAAATTAACTAAAATAATTAAGTTCGTGATCAAAAGTAAATTCTAAAATTAAACTAGACTTTGTTGTTCATCACAAAGTCCTTTAGAACTAATAAAGCTTTCAATTAAAAGATAAAATCTAAATTAAACCATATGACTTCTAATAAAAATTTCTTCATTCCTTGTCTATCACCAAAGAATATGATATTAACAAAGTACTTAAATTAAATGAATTCGAAAACAAAATCTTTCTAATCAGTGTATGTCATCAAAAGAATGGGAAAACAATGAAATGAGATCCTCTTTCTTCCTTACTCTCTAGCCATATTCACTTGCCTTTCCATACCTCCTGGCCTCCTAGCTTCCAGCCCACCATCCCCCCTTGCTAGAGCAAGGAGCCTCCTTTATCATTCCTTAGATCCGAAAATCTCTCATTCAGTTTTGATTTAACTATTTTTCTTTATTTTTCACCTTCAGTATTTGACTCTTATTTTGTGCTCCAATTCTTATCAAAAATGGTATTTTTAGTATATAGAATAATTTATTAATAAGTAACAAAGCTTCATTTTAAATATTAGAT